CCTTCCGAACAAGATAAGGGTTGAAATGTGACACAGTGTTTTTTTCTGATGCTCTATCGATGGTCCATCGTATGTCAAATTGGTTCAAGGGCACATTTTTCCAAAAAGAAATATTTTTTGGAAAATTCCAAGAAGAAATTTTTTTTAATTTTTAAATTTCACGATTATAAAAGAAAAAGGTATTGTTCATAAAAAATAAGAGATATTGAACATAATTTTTACAATATTTCTTTTTGGAAAAATTCCATGCTTTTAAATTTTTTATATGTTTGTTAACATTGAACATTGAAACATAATAATATTTTTTGATATTCATATTTTAAAAATATTCACGGTGAATCATAAAAAATACGAATAAAAGAGTCGCCCGTACGTTTAGCAGCAAACATTTGTGGCAGTTTTGCAGTAATAAAAAAATAAATCCGCCGTAGTCAATTAGCCGAAGGAACTTTGGGCTTTGCAAGAGCATGGTCTGCACGTTCGCTGATCGCAGGTAATTCCGAGTCGCGCGACAATGGATTGCCATACCTAGGTTTTACCGTTTGTAACACGTGCGGCATCTTGGGCATGGAAAGACAGCAAACATCGCATTGCTATAAAAAAAAGGGGCATTTTTCTGACCTAGCCACGGAGTGGGGAAGGCGACGGTATTTTTCGGGAGGGAAAATGCTGTTTGTCAGTCAAGACTTTTCACAGTACCTCCGCGGTTTTGAACAGAGCTTCACCTAGAAAATGCTGCGAACAAATCGGACTATTATAAAATGTTTTTCGTGTTCGCGCAGTCCGATGGAAACGCGGAGAAGGCCGTCCGCAAGTTTCACGTACAGTACCCGGATGAAAGCCCGCCGACCGCGAACAATTTTCGCAGGCTCGCGAGTCGGCTATACACGAGTGGCTCGTTTCAAACCCGCGCATCACGACGCGGGTCGCGCGTGTCGATTTTCACGGCACGGGGCGGACGAGGTACTCGGAGATTTTCATCGGGACGGCACGGTTAGTGTACGCGAGATCAGTCGCAAATCGGGGTAAGACACACGGCAAAATTGATTCAACGTTGAATTTGCGCGTGCATTATTAATGGTTTTTTAAATTTTATTTCAGGGTAGCCGCTCATCGGTGCACCGGATCGTGCGCCGCTCCAATATGCACCCGTATAAATACATACGGGCCCAACATTTGCTCCCCGGGGATTATCTCCAGCGGATGAATTATTCGCGTGGGTGTTGGGGGAAATCCATCGGAATCCGTCGTTCACCACGCGTGTTTTGTGGACGGATGAAGCACTCTTCACAAGAGAAGGGTGCTTCAACGCCCACAATGCACACGTGTGGGACGATGAGAATCCGGTCGCGATTCGCCCACGCGCAGCACAGCACCGGTGGTCCGTCAACGTATGGGCGGGCATTTGTGGGGAGTTCGTCGTTGGACCGTACCTTCTGCCTCACAGATTGGACGGTCCAGCGCACTTGAACTTCCTGGAACATGTTCTTCCGGGTCTCTTGGAAGAAATTCCATTAGAAATCCGGAAGAACATGATTTTCCAGCATGATGGAGCTCCGGCCCATTATGCCGCACATGTCCGCCGATACCTTGACAACACCTTTCCTGAAAGGTGGATCGGCCGTGGCAGTGCTGATGCGTGGCCCCCCTCGCTCCCCGGATTTGAATCCGCTGGATTTTTTCTTCTGGGGGCATTTGAAGGTGTGTTAATTGTTTCTTTTTATCTTTCCAACCTTTAATGTACATATTCCTGTTAACATTGCGTTTCTTTATTATTTGTTGCAGAACGAGGTGTACCGGCACCCGGTCACTACCGAGGAGGAAGTGGTGGGTCGCATCCACGCGGCCGTGGCGACCATCACCCCCGAGATGCTGCGAAGGGTGCAAGATAGCATTACTAATCTTGCCGTGGTCTGCGTGGCGGCGGAGGGAGGCCACGCCTCTCCTCTCCACTAACAATACCCGGCCCCCCTCGGGGGCCACAAATATTTAAAGCAAGGGGCATGCTTAGGGTTCAACTGAACAAACAATCGGCTCCTTTCGGAGCCAGAAATTGAAGCAAAAATTAAAAAATACCCTTCCCATCGGCCCCTTTCGAGGCCAGGCTCGTATTTTTTCCTTTTTTGCAAGAACAGGAATCCTGAAGGGAATAACAATCCAGGAAGGAGCAACAATCGAAGAAGGGTGCAACGGAACGCATCGGTATGTGAAAGTGAAAAGTGTTAGTGACCGTGCTGTGAAGTGTTTTCGGGGTGAAAAGCAGGTACAGCGTCCGGGCCGTCCCATCAGCTGATTTTCGTTGGGGTTTTTGACCTTGCCGTGACCGCCAGCGGTGCATTGGCCGGGCCCTATTGTCAGCGCAGTAGGTCAACTTGCAGGTGAATGGGTAAGTCGAATTTCAATTATTTCTCTATTAACCCTTTGCATTCGAGGGATGTTTCGGCTCGCAGAAACTCAGTCTGCTTTTTTAGTACAGTTTTTAATAACAAACGGTTACAAATGGTTCTTACCGTATTTATTTTAATTTTCTGATAATAATTCTTATTTTAATTTTAAAACACTCTGACGAGAAGCATCACTCGGGTGCGAAGGGTTAATTTTCTAAAAATTCCGAGATTTTATTCCTTCTTTTTCGGAAACAGCGAATACAAATAATTAATAAAAAGTAAATTCCATTTAGTAATTTACGTACTAATTACGTAGTAATTCACGAATTAGGTAACAGTTGCAGTGGTAGTATTTTTAATTATTTGTACTCGTTCCTCGATGTATTTTCAACGCGCATCTTGCTACCTACCCGGCGCGATGGCTCTCCGAGGTCGGACGGCCCTGAGCGCGCGGAAGGCGAGCGATACGTGTCTTTATTCAGAGTGAGCTGGATTGTAGCCACTGCTGAATTGGAAATCTGGTATAATAATCTACGAGATTTTATAGTTTTGTGATCTGGTCGTGTTCCGACCTGATCTGTTTAACACGTTAAACGCCACGCCGCACAGTGGGCTGGATCGAAGATTTTAGTGACATTTTACCGAAAAATGAACTTTCACATATCGATTTTAAATCAATTGGTATCGTCTTTCAAATATCTACTGACCTTAAAAACTAAAGAATTTGTGAAATTAACTATAAATTATAGCTGTATTGAACTGTTAAAGTTTAACATTTTCAAATGTACGTTTGACGCTCGAAAAATGTACTTTCTTTGTCACGGTATTGTGACGATCTCGTTTAATGTTTTTTCTTCATTTCTTTTCTACAATAAACAGCATTATTTTCCATTACAAAATATTAAATACAACTCAAGTTATTTTATTTAGTATACTAGGAACGTAACGTTGAATGTACTACAGAAAATTGTGAATATTTTTACAATTGACAAGGAATATCTTTTGAGTCCCAAGTTGTCCCACGTTCTAACATATCTCAATGTTTTCAGGATACTTTCTTTTAGATAATATATAAAAATTGTAACCACCTTCGTCCACCTTTCTGAATTATTAATGTTCAAAGTTATTGGTGTCATGTAATCTTACGCGGGGTCGGTAGCCATCATCGGTACTCTACGGTGTTCGGCCACCTCTGGGAAAAATTTTAATGGGGGATTCTAGAAGACAAAATAAGACGGAAATCAAGAATACCAATTTGTTGATGGAGGCTTCGTTAAAAAGTTATTAATATTTAAAGTTCCGCCCGTACTGAATTTTTTCCCCGAAAATGCGCAGGATTTCGGGAGTATGTCTATCTACCAAAAATGATTGTAATTGACCCCCACAACCGAGAATAATTTTTCCAGAACGATTTGAAATTGATTTTTTTCGTTGAAAAATTTAGGCACCTAATTAGATTTTCGGTAAGGAATTTTTTTCCTCGAAAGTGCGTAGGATTTCGGGAGTATGTCTATTCACCAAAAATGATTATAATTGACCCCCGCAAGCGAAAATAATTTTTCCAGAACGATTTGAAATTTTTTAATTTATATGTTAATAATTTTTTAACGAAGCTTCCATCAACAAATTGGTATTCTTCATTTTCGTCTTGTTTTGGCCTCTAGAATCCCTCATTACAATTTTTCCCCAGGGGTGGCCGAACACCCTGTATAGCTATTTAGGTAATAAGTTGATGTGTATAAGTAGGTAAAGCTAAATGTAAAAATAATGCATTGTAGAGAACGTTCGTCTGTTTTAAACAAAAGCAATGTAATCTATACCACTTTCAAGTGTCTGTTCGCTCTCCTCTTAGAGATCATAGGAACAAAACAGGACGATTGACACAAACCTTTGTTTTATTTTTTTTCTGTATTCAGTTGGAACAGAACCATCGAACTGCATAGTGAACTGCACATTAAAAATATTTTTTCCGTAGTCTAGTTTTTTCGTTCTTTTATTCAGTTTAATATTCGCTTTTTACAGTTGTGTTTTGTATAGTTTATGTTTAGTGCATGTATTCTTTTGAGTTCAGTTAAGTTTATTCTGTGTGTAACAAATTGTATTCCGAGTTTTCTTCATTACTGTTGTTACGGAAGTGTTTGTTGTCTTTTACATTAAACAATGGAGGGATACCGTACAAATAGAGATTTATTTTTTACATTAAAAAATATGTCTAAAGATATAGATGATTATGGATTCTTATATCAAAAAATTTGTTAAAATGCCAATATTTGTGCAGAAACTTCGAGTGTACCGAAAATCAGTTTAAAAAAATTTACGTCAAAATTAAAAATGAAATGGGTGCAATCGCATTATATAGAACTGCAATTTCTAAAGCGAAATAAGACCTGGTTGGAGAAGGATTTTATGTATCCAAATGATATTGTTGGGTATAGTAGGTGCCGCCAGGAGGCGCGGCAAACGGGCTTGCCATGCGCCGGGGCGGCGAGAGTCAGTTGGCTGGACGGGGAGCCCATGCCCGCGACGAACACAACAACTGGCGCTGCGGCTAAAGAAGTCTGAATTTTCGTACCAAAATTCAGCAGAACCTGTGTCGTGTGGGAAACGTGCATCATGGCGACCGCCAATGACGACCTAAAGTCTCTCACGTCAGCCATTCAGAGCCTGCTTCAACTACAAATTCAACAGAGTAGTGCAGGGAAGGCTGGAGGACCACCTCAAATCGACGCTTATAATCAGTTAAGTGCTCGCATCGAAAAATATACATACGGGACGGCAGAGGATACAAAGCCGTTCAGGAAATGGCTTCTCCGTCACGAGTTTACAATCTGCACGGAGGCAGCGTGTCTCTCTCCGGAAATGAGAACACGTCTCGTACTTGACAAGCTCGGTCAATCGGAATTTGATAGACTTGTGGACCACGTCGCACCGTTAAATCCGTCGGAGATGAGTCAAGAGAACCTTCTGGAAGTTTTAAAGGAACTCTTCCGAGACAAGGTGTCGGTAATACGCCGACGTATAGAAGTCCTGAATTACCGATACGACAAGTCTACCCCAATCACGGAGCATATCGATCGCATCAATCGCCACGCGGCCGAGTTTGATCGACCGGGATTGTCCGACGATGGGTTGAGAATACTGTTACTTTTACAGTCATTCTGCTACTCGAGTGAACACGACGAGCTGAAGAGGATAGCTCTCCGAGTTGTCGAGAAAAATCGGGAAGCCTCCCTCAAAGACGTTGTCACCGAACTGGAAGCGTACTTAAACATATCTTCAAGCATGAAAACGCTTGAAAATCCGCTGAGCGCTGTGTCGCCTTCGGTTCTCAAAGTGACACAGCCGATACGGTACGATCCGAAAGTGCCGAAACGGTACGATCCGAAAGGGCCGAAACCTCCGGTCAGTTCGTTTCAACCTCCCACAAGTGTCAAATGTAACGGTTGTGGTGGTGATCACCCTCGTGTAAAATGCAAATTTCGGGATGCAATGTGCAACAAGTGTGGCAGAAAGGGCCACATCGCCGTAGTGTGCCGATCAGAAGGGAAACAGCTGAAATCTGTCGTAAAAAGTAAGAGTGTAACCACGCTGGCACTTTCTACTGTCAGTAAACGACGTCGACGTTTCGTGGCGGTATCTGTGGGCGACAAAATCCTAACTCTTCAATACGATACCGGTTCGGATATCACTATCATCGGGAAAGATTGTTGGCGCCACCTGGGATCCCCGGGCCTTACGAAAAGCGAAACGGTGGTACACGCTGGAGGAAGCGAGCTTGGGACACTCGGCTGCTTTCGCACGACGGTCAGTGTGCTCGACCGAGAAGCGGAAATCGATATTCACGTCGCCAATCGGAATGGTGTGAATCTATTCGGCCTAAACGCCGTCGATAATCTCCAGCTTTGGTCTGTTCCGCTGTCAGAGTTGAACACTTCGTACTCTTTAGGGCCGGCAGTTGCGCCATCGGCCAAAAGAGTTACAAACAAAGCTGTACCGACAGCCACGCCAACTGGCGACGCACACGCGCACGCAGTCACCAAACGATTTCCTAACCTGTTCTCGAACGAACTCGGGAAGTGTCACGATTTCACAGTCAAATTCAATCTCACAAGTGACGCGCGGGCTGTACAAATTCCTTGTCGTCCAATTCCGTTTGCCATGGAGAAGCCCCTCGAAGAGGAACTCCAGCGACTGGAATCAAGGAATATCATTGAGCGTGTGGAGTCATCGGATTGGGCGTCACCCATCGTTATGGTCAGGAAAAACAATGGGAAAATTAGACTGTGTGCCGACTACTCTACCGGAGTCAACCGCGCTCTGACAGACAACCGTCACCCTCTGCCTAGTGTGGATAACATTATTACAAAACTTAACGGTGGTTGTTTTTTCAGTTTGATCGATCTAAGCGAGGCGTTTATGCAGCTTGAGATTGACGAGGCCCATCGAGAAATTACTACCATTACTACTCCGAAAGGGCTATTTCGGTTCAAGCGCCTACCCTTCGGTATCAAAACGGCGCCGGCGATTTTCCAGCAAGCAATGGATAGTACCCTCTCTGGGCTCGAAGGAGTTTACGCGTACCTTGACGATGTCATAGTTGTAGGTTGCAATCGTCAGGAGCACGACGAGCGTCTAGTGCGGACCTTGCAACGCCTGGAGGAAAAGGGATGGAAACTCAGCTTCGAGAAGTGCTTTTTCACTGTTCAACAAATCAAATATCTTGGGTTGATAGTGAATAAACATGGCATTTCTGCCGATCCTGAGGCAACACGGGCCATAGCAAGCATGCCTAATCCAAAAAATGTTTCAGAGGTGCAGAGTCTTCTCGGTCTGGTGAACCACTACGGGAAATTTATTCCCTATTTACATGAAATAAAGCGTCCCCTCGAAGAGCTGACACGCAAAAACAAGCTTTGGATGTGGAATAAACATCACGACGCTGCTATGGAAAAGATTAAAAATGTGATGCTGAGTCCACTCCTGCTAGAACACTACGATCCAACAAAGACACTGATAGTGGCTGCCGATGCTAGCTCCACTGGGATCGGAGCAGTCCTACTTCAACGCGACTCTAACGGACACGAACGCGCCGTTTATCACATGAGTCGAAGTCTCACGGACTCCCAACGGAATTATTCCCAGCTGGAAAAGGAAGCACTTGCGCTCGTCACTGGAGTTGAACGCTTCCATAAATTCGTATGGGGCAGACGGTTCGTCTTACAAACTGATCACAAGCCACTGGTGGCCCTGCTCCAAACCGAAAACACAAAGGGCCTGAGACCAACCACAGCAGCACGGCTCAAGCGTTGGGCACTGCGTCTTCTTGGGTATGATTTCAAGATTGAATACATTCGTACTCAAGACTTCGGGCAAGCAGACGCCTTGTCGCGGTTGATGGTAAAATTCCGCCAGGATAATGCCGAAGAACTACAGGTGGCGGGGGTGCAGGAGGTCGAAAAGGAACTCCTCCAAGTCAGGAATACTTGCATCGACTCGTTCGGAAAGGAAATTCGAGGCAAGCTAAAAAAGGCTACGGAAGATGATTCCATCCTCACCGCTGTGTTCAAGGCCATCAGAGAAGGCTGGAGCAGTACTGGGAATCCTGAGTCCTTACAGCACTACCAAAGACGCGCCGATCAACTCGCCATAGTGGACGGTACACTCCTACTCAGTGATAGGATTGTCATCCCTGACAAGCTGAGGCCAGCTATCTTGACCGCTCTCCACCGAGGACATCCGGGCATCCGTCGAATGAAACAACTCGCAAGAGAGTACGTCTACTGGCCAAAAATGTCAGGAGACATCGAACAGCTTGTACGCCAGTGCGATCCTTGTGCGCTGACCCAGAAGCTTCCTCGCAAGGTGCCGCTCAACCCGTGGCCGGTACCATCACGTCCCCTTGAGCGGGTGCACCTGGACTTCGCTGGTCCCATCGACGGAAAATACATCCTAATTTTTGTGGATGCATACTCTAAATACCTAGACGTATCACTCTCAACCTCGATTTCAGCAAGCCGTACCGTCGAGATGTGTCGCGAAATTTTCGCCAGATATGGCGCTCCCGAGGTGATCGTCACTGACCACGGCACCCAGTTTACAGCAGAAGTATTCGCTGTCTTCTGTCGTGAAATGCAATGTACGCATCTCTTGTCAGCAATAAATCATCCACAATCGAACGGTCAGGCCGAAAGAATGGTGGATACGGTAAAAAGAGCTATCGCGAAGGATCCTACAAACTGGAAGAAACAGTTATACGAGTTCTTGTACAGCTACAGGTATTCGCCGTGCTCCGCAACAGATACCGGGAAATCTCCGGCCGAAATCTTCTTCGGCAGACGGATGAACACGCCGTTCACCAAACTGTTTCCTAAGTTCTCAACCGGTGAACATTCTGGAGCGTCTACTCCGGCAATACGACGAGGTATGAAGCAGCAGTTTAACAGACACCACGGCACCATTCCACGTCAACTTTCCGTGGGAGATCGTGTAGTGGTCTTGACGAGCAGGAATAAGCGTGAACAGGGCGAGGTCTGGAAGATCTTATCTAAGACGCGCTATACGGTACGCCTTGACAACGGCAAGGTGGTTGATCGACATATTAACCACATTTGGAGGGGAGGATGTGGAACGGCAAAGCCAAGAGGAGGAGATGAGATCGACAACTGGGGATTCTACGAACCACCCCCAAACACCTCTTCTGTTCCGCAGACCGTTCCCGACACTGGCATACACCTAAACACTTCGCAGGAAACTCAGTTGTCCGGGAACCAACACTTCGAAGAAGCGGTCACCCAACCAGCATCTACGAGACCAACCCGCCTTCGAGCACCAGTAAGAAGACTGATGTTAGATCCAGCCTCTAAATCCTATTTGGAGTGCTGACTTTTCTGAAGGGAAGATGTTGGGTATAGTAGGTGCCGCCAGGAGGCGCGGCAAACGGGCTTGCCATGCGCCGGGGCGGCGAGAGTCAGTTGGCTGGACGGGGAGCCCATGCCCGCGACGAACACAACAGATATATTGGCACAAATTCCATCAACCTCACAAAGATCGAAACCAGTAGCAGCAAAACCGTCGACTGTCCAAATTTATAAAGGAAGAAAATTATACTCTCAGTGCACCAAGAGAGAAAAAATTCGTAGAACAAAATCTTTAGTAAATAGTTTTTCTTTGGAAGAACTACTGAGTGCAGTAAAAATGAGCCTACGAAAGCATGGAATGCATAAACAATCGCGTATAATAGGTCATTGTATTCGCCTTGAAACACTCTATCAGAATGTAAGTAAAAAAACAGACTATTCCATTTAAAAAAACAGAGTTGCCTTCATATCTCTTTGACGCCTCCACTTACAGAAAAATTGGTAATACCAGATTCTGAGCCCCCCGATACCAAGTAAGTTTGATCTAATGCATTTTCTCCTATCTTCAAAAACAAGCGAGTTATTCAGGTGATCTGTTTAAAATGCCCCACCCTGTATATAAAATAAGGAATACACTTCTGGTTTATTTCGCTACATGTGTGGGAAACAATTACATTTAAAACATTGCAAAGACCAATTAAATAAACACAAATATAAAATTAATTAGACATAGTAGAAGTAATTACAAAATATTCTGTACATTATTAAAACGGGAGAATTTTGTAATATTTTTCTGTGCAAACCGCACTTCGATATCTTTAATGGTTCGAAAGTCATACTAAAATGTCACTAAAATTTCTGATCCGGCCCACTGTGCGCCGGTCCCTAGGGACCGATGGCAGACTATTCGTTTTTGTTATCGCCGCGCGCGTGTCGGTCCTTGCGTACTTGTGAGACTGAACATTTAATTTAGACGTCAACGGTTTTTGTTTGGTCAATGCTTTAAGGAAAAGAATATAATACTTAAAACATTAATGTAATTTATTAAAACAAGGTAAACAAAAGTGAGGTTTGTTTGTACACTGATTACAGAAGGTTGTAACTTTTTGCGTTACATTTTTGGCCATCTTTGATCCTAACATTCGCGAATTTTGATTATAGCACGCGGTGCAGTATCTCCTAGTTCTATGCACACTGCCTTCTTTTTTTTGTAAGTGATGGAGGGATTTTATACGTGAGTCGATTTGTTCGTCCTTCTTCTGCGTATGTGCCTCAATCAATTTTTTGCGATATGTTGTGACACACATCTTTTGGTTTGTTGATTCTTTATATATAAAAAACGAATTCACAACAGCAGTGTTCAGTAAAAGTTCGAAACCTAATTTCCGGTACCACTTCATTGACTTCCGTACTGGGTTACTATATGCAGCCATTTGATCTGAGAGGTCAATAGACTGCTTCCCCGCATTATAGTCTATAACAATTTTTGGTTTACTTACGATTCTTGTCTTTGTTCGAACGGTTTCCATTTCTATCGTATGTTTGGTAGAAAGTAACAGAACATCACGCTTCTCTTTCCATTTCAAAACTGTGATCCCTTCTTTACTCTCTTGTGCGGCACATTCGCCCCGTTTTAGTTTTTTGGATACCACTTCTTTCGGATTGTCTTTGCGGTTACTTCTTAGGGTACCAATCAAATGAGTATTTTTTTGTATGAGTTTTTTGGCCAAATTTACAATAGTGTACAAATTGTCCGTGCAAAGTGTATGGTCTTTGTGGAATATATCTTCGCACAAATTCATAACTACATTTGTTGGCGTCGTATTCACTTTGTCGAAAGTCTTTCCACTGTAGACACTAAAGCTGTATGTATATCCAAGGCCACAGCTGAATTTGAAAATTTTTATTCCATATCTGTATCTTTTCTGTTTCATGTACTGTCGGAATATAATTCGTCCACGAAATGGGATCATTGATTCGTCAATACAAATCAATTCCGTTGGATGGTAATATTTTTTTAAATTTTCGTTCAATTTGTCGATAATTGGCTGAATTTTATACAATCGATTGGTGACATCTGCTGTTTCATTGTTACAAAAATGAAGCATTCTCAAAAGAATCTCGAATCGGTTCCTGCTTATTATTTTGTGTGGGAATGGATGATAATATAAAGGATCCATGGACCAGTATAAATTTATGCCGAGTGTCCCGGAAGTGTCCGCTTGACACCTAACTGTGGCGTGAACGGAACGGCACGTAAAACCGGCGTGTCGTTTAACATGCGCTGTAGACGAATTTGAATTCGTCTTTATCCAACTTATTATTGTCTTACCTTCTCTATCTACACGCGTCGACACGTTAGCTCGAAATTACGCGTAGTTTGGCCGATCGCGTGATGTTTCGAAGAAACTCGTGTGTGACAGTTTTTCTATCCTGTCTTGTTTTCGCGTAGCGGACACGAGAGCCGAACATTCTCGAGTATGTTACATACGCAGAAAAACAATACCGGGTGACGAATTATATTCTACTATTCTTGAATACGTCGAATTAACTCGATATTTAAACAAGGGTAATATCAGACAAAGATTCTTCTGGAGTTGATTGTTTAATGGATCTGTTGGGATGTAAAGGTTTGATATTTTTATTTTAAACAAATCCCTTTGCCTATCTACGGGTTCGGATCTCGAGGGAGAGGAAAGCTGGGGAAATTAAAATCGCACAAAATATAATATATTTTAAATTACATTATAATTTAAATTTAAATATAGACGTTAATTATAAAAGAAATGAGAGGGACTAATGGCAGACACCAGAAAATTTCCGACCATCTCTGAAACGACCATACCATTTAAACACTTCACTATGGCACACTATGGTTAGTATTCAGTATTCACATCATTATGTTTCGTTCAATCAATAAAATGTCACTCCATTCGCTATTGTAAGTGACGCATTAGTCTGAATACTAACCTGCACATTCCCAACTCATACCTGCGAATCGTCTATCATGAATATATTATGTTCATGAAAAACAACTGATCCATTGGCGATTTCGCCCTGGGCATTTGGAACGGGGCCCATGCGACGAACGCAGGCCCAACACGGCACTGAAATGAAGGTGGTGGGGCACATTTGCCGTCCCAATCTGCTAGAGTATCGCTTACACCCCTCGGTTTTTCCTCAGCTGCCTACCCGAGGTCCCACGGGCCGGATGGGCTTTTACTACCGGTTTCTTTTGTTCAAAACCACAAAATCTCGAACTTTGAGGCCATTTTTCGACATTATCCCATCTGATATCGAAGTTAAAAATGGTATCAGTCGATTCGCCTTGGCAAGACCTTTCCAACTGTGTATAGCATATGCTGTACGCTCTTGGGTCACTAAACCCCTCTATGACTTAACATTGTCCTTTATGTATTCTCAAAATATAAATAATAAAGTGAGCAAAATACTCGTATTAAAAAGTTTCATGGTTTTTTCGTATAAAATTCAGAAAGAATGTCCATTTTGTTGTCTATTTTAGTAAAGAACCCCGCTAAGTATATATATCTGCTACTAACCGCGCCGATAATCGAGTGGAATATTGTATGGTTTTATGGTACCTGAAGACTTTTTGACTGCAAGACAGTATACGGGGTAAATTTTCCAACTGTGGAATCGCTAGAAAGTTTTTCGACCGTGAGTTCCAGTCTCTTTTAGGATTTAATTATTTTTTTTTTATTCGTAATTTTTTTTCAAGTGGTAACTATATAACAATAATCCATATTTACATATAAATGTTCTAAGAGTATTTTTGAAATTTCCCTAAATTTTTTACAAATAACGTATATGTATAGGTATAACGAAAAAACTATGACGTATACTAATTATTATAGACGGTGTTAGGGGGAGTAGGTTTGAAAAAACCTCGCCTAACGGTGGTCCGGATCGTGAGGGAAGGAACGTGGAGGAAAGAATACAGATTTTCAATTTAATTTTCGCTTAGTCGAATGACTCGACTAAGCCGTTTATTCATAGTAACTTATGGAAACAAAATCTTAGATAAGAGTTGTCTGCCCGGCCAGACGCCGCTGCAGTTAATCCTGTTTGGTAAATCTGTAACAGAAAGAGACACGAATAGGCGTTAAATACCTGTGAACGTGAGTCACGCTGTGTGTCTTACTTTCTTCCGCGCTCGTCTGGTCTGTGCTTGTCGCACCCAGAAGCGGGGATCTCAGCCGCCGCGATGCGCAGCTAAGCTAGTGGACTGTATGTGTGAGCGTTCCCGTTAAATCGGGAATCGCTTGCTTATTATTGTCGTGTACGAGATTTCTGCTCGTCTAATTTCACGACTTCAATTTATGACTGTCGCAGGAGAAGGTGATCGGAGGGAGGTTGTAAGGCTCCAACCTTTCAGCCGGTCCCCGGCCCTTCACCGCCTTCGTAAGTGCGTACGGGCACTGTGTGGTGCAGGCTTGTCAACGGCGCCCTTAGGGCGACTTACGGTTGGGCCTGAGACCACGTTGCTTGTCGGAGTCGCCGTCCTACGCGCAGTGACCGTACTTCACTGGCGATTTTGGGTCGTGTCCTAGCTTTCGCCGATAGCTGGGGTTTAAGAATGTGTCCCGCTTCGACTAGAAGACGGCAAATCCACCCAGGGTACTCTTCCCCCTGTATGGTGGGTTCGAAGCCGTTTTTGACAGTCAATTGGAGGAAGGAGTTTGAACCTCGATCCTCTAGGGCACGATGATTCC